AGATTTTAGAGATGTAATGCCTCAGTATTGCAGGTGAGCTCTGAAAGCCAATTTGACCTGGTCAAATAGACTTTCTTTGGACAATGAAGGAACACAAAGCACACCGCATTGATACTTAGGCTGGTGGCAACTGAAGTCCATTGTCATAAGCTGCAGCAGCCCAGCTGTGCCCCATTTCATTAAATGATTGCTTTGCATATTACTTGAGGCAGGGTGTAGACATACCTCCTCAGGCTGGAACTAAGCTGGGTATCTCCACCATGTAATGTAGGTTAGATGCAGTCAGAAAGATGACTCAGGATGAATGGTACCTCTGTCAGACATTTTTGACAGTGTTTACTGAATAATTCAGAGTATTGTGAGTATAACCAAGAAAATACTGAGTTGGGCCTTATCAGCACTGACACTCTTTTGAAAATGAAACATTAATAAATTAAGCAATTTCTTCCTTCATAACTGTAAGCAACTAGCTGCCAGGAAAGAGTCTAGAGTCAGAGGGGAGCTAGTGGTGAAAGTGTAGATATCTGAAGTTTGCCTTCAGAGGTGGCCAAGGCACCTATTTTCAAACAGAAACCCAGAAATAAAGATACAAAGAGAAGTTTCTGACTGCTTTACAACTGATTAAACCCATCCTGGATTTTTGATGCCTTAAGTGGAGAAAGAAAATCATGGTTATGACCCACGACAAAGTTCTCAAACTCTGGGAAAACCAGCACTTAATCTTCAGCAAAATAATTAGAACAAAGGAAAGAATACAGTCCATGAAATGTTTGAAGCCTGACCAGTGGCAATGACATCAGGACGGAAGTAAGAGAAAAATTAGACTCTATGTTTGCTTTATAAAAAAACAAACAATATAAGAGCTTAAAACTGGTGAATAATATATCTTACATGCCGTAGCAAATGCATGGCAAAACAAGAGACAAATCAAGATGCAAGACACAGTGGATTAATTCACTTAGGATAAATCTGCACATGTCAGTAGAGCAGGAAAGTCCCAATCAGTGTTGATCAGCTGAGTATTACCCCAGTACCACTGAAAACACTGAGACTTCTTCTGTGTCACATTATCACAGATGTACTGAAACACTTTGCTAGCTCAGGGCAAAGCATTCCATACAAGCCAAAATATTTGGTTAGTGAAAAAAAAAAGTGTTATAAATGTAAGGTAACAACTAGAAAAGGTTCACAGGGATGCTTGATTCCTCACAGGATGCATACATCTTCTAATACTGGCAAATACCAGGCTTCAATAAGGTGAAGCACCTCTTTTAAGGTACACATCAATCAAGTAGCAGTCATATCTCTCAGGGATAAACTTTTTGTTCTGTGAAAATTCCTACTTATTCCTTTTCTGGATTCCCCACATATTTTTTCATTTGTTTTTAATGGCAATGTGCATTTGCTCCTCAGTTATTCCTTCAAATATCATTCCTAAAATACATATCCAGAAGATCTGATAGCATGAGGAGGTTGGATATTTGGTCTTGGAGAAATTACATTCTTTCATGGTATCCTTTACAATAGACAAAGATAATACACGAAGAAGGAGACAGCAGAAACCCGTTAGCTTGAAAGGCAATTTGCACTCCTCATATGAAGAAACAGCAATAAAAATATGAGATTTATGATACAATTTACCCCCTCATTAAGCAGCAGACATTACAAGTGTCAGCCGGTGGTTGTAAGGATCTGCCTAGTAGATTCTGGTTCTGCCTGGTGTCTCATTAAAAACTGATAAAAGAAGCAGAAGTCTAACTTAGCTAAACCTGCTGCTTTTCCAAATTAAGTATGCTGTCATATTTTTACAAATTAGAATATATATCTACTTGGATGTGCTGCTACTACTGAACGCTTCCCTAAGATTTTAGAAATATCACCCAGCAGAAAATCTGTAAAGTCAGTTGTGCATAATGAGCAGTGAAGTGCGATGCTTAATATATTTCCTTCACCTGAGTATTTTCTTTCTAGAGAAAGGTCTGATATTCTACATGTCTTTTGGGGCAGATTCAATGAAATATGCATTGTTCTCTGCAGCAGCATCACAGCTGACTTCTGCAGTCCATATTCTGTCTAATTTCTGTGTCACAGATGACCTTGCAGGCAATCTACTTTTATTGCTTTCTGTCAGATAGCTGGGCTGATGTATAACTCTATTTCTATAAACAGGCTATTTCCTCAGCAGGTATCTGATTTTTATTAAATGTATCACTTATCAAAGAAAGGTCTTCACATAGGCAGGGCTCTTCTTGTTTTAAGAGCAGTCTGTACTTGAAAGAGACAATCAACATTACAATTTTTTTTCCTGAAAATAGCATGTATCATTGCATATAAATTCCTACATAACACCACATTTTCATATGAACACACTGAAATTGCATTTGTATTGCAAATGTATGCATGCAAAATAGGCATTTGCACAAGCAAAATAGATAAAGGATTGCACAAATTCAAGGAGTTTGGGCATAACTTAGCCTGATTCTCCATATTTAAACATCCAGCCCTACATATCCTAAACATAATGCCATTTATGTCAACTTTAAAATCTGGGACATTTATTGTAAACATTTTGTGCAGTGCAAGAGAAGGAAGGGATACAGAGCTCCCAAAAGTTAACTTTTTAGACTGTCAGGGCTTTGAAAAGTTATGCACATCTTACCAGTGAAACATAAGCTGTTGCCTGTGGGTAGTTGCTGTGCATGTCTAGGTGCATTAACCTTCCTGACCTCTGTGGGATTTCACTGATGTAATCCTAAATGTCACAAAGACATAAGTGAAGAACAATCAAGGAGGGTCTAATGTACAGCTAAGTTTCCAATTGTCAAAAAATCAGTCTAACCACCACTATTTCACTACAGCTAGTACATTCACCTTCTTTAGGGTGTGCAATGAGATACACACCAGTGAGAACAGTGTATTTGGTAACAATTTTGTTTACTGATGTAATGGAGATTTGAGAGAAAGATGTACAAAGATTTGCCAGTTACCCTTTCGAGTAAAAGGACAAAATACACTCATCACAGTGGACCAGTTGCACCACTTCATGAGACTGGGTATTTAGTAAAGGTGGCAGATGTATCTAGCAAAAACAAATTAGTCTAAACATGGTATTTCAACTAAACTAAGATGCTTCTTACTCTTCGTAATTTCCAGTGGCAGATACAGTCTATCAGTTTATCTCATGTGGATATCCCGCATTTTAAAACATCAATTTACTGGCCCTGCAGTCCACACTGTATGTCTTTTAATCCCAACAGAGGCCTGAGTCTCTTAAAACTTTTTAGTGTCTCAACCAAATACCCAGGCAGATTATTGCCACGTGAATGCTGAAGTGCTACATAGATCTCCTGCCATTGCTGGACTGCAGCCTTCAATCAGAGTTGTCAGTAGTCAGCTACTTGACTGAAGCTTTGGGTGCCCCTTGCTTTCAGGGTGATTACTACACAGGTCTCTGAATACTAATTGCGATCTCTGCAACATCTTTGTTACAACAGAGCAAACTAATACAGAAGTAGTAATAAATTCACATTCAGTTGCTCCTTTACATGGCAAATGTAATTATTATGTATGCAAACCTGAATCACAGAATCATAGAACAGTTTGGGTTGAAACAGACCTTAAAGATCACCTAGATCCAACCCCCCTCCATTGGTAGGGACACCTACCCACAGGAAACAAAATGGCTCCTTCAAATCAAAGCTTCTCTCCTTGAAAGTAAACACTTGCACTGTGATAACACGTTTCAGTAGGACACTGGGGCCACATGCTGTGCTGTCTTGATTTTGGAATAAATAAATCTGTGCTCTGTTGTTTGTTGGGTGAATAAACATTTGGGGCATGTGACAATGTACAACTAGAACATGGTGACTCAATATTCAGGTATTTTTAATCAACACTTTGAAAATCAGAATACTTAATTAATACTTGGTAAATATTATCTAATTCAACCCTACAGGGCTTTCAAGTACCAAGCTACTATTGTATCTTGACAGATACTGACCCTGCAGTTAAATAAAGTGCTTGCAGCCACCAATGAAGTTATCTCAGAGCCATGATTAGCACTCAGAAGTTCCTGACTCATGGTACAGTTTCATGTTTTGGGGAAATTGATCTAACAGCAAGCTGTGACGGAAATACAAGGCCTGTCTGTAATCTTCCCCAGGCTCCTGTTGCCCATCTTGCACTAGATTTAACAGTCAAGCAACCACACAGCCAAGCCATAAGATTTTCAATGTCAGATGCCCTGAACCTACTGCAGATATATGGGGATCCAACCTCTCAGGGAGACTGAATTCATGGTACGCGTTAGGTGGATATATCTGTATGTCAACAGGAAGTCCAGCACGTTAGACTTGTTCGTGTGGGTGGCATAAGGAAAGGGCAGATATTGCATCTAGAGGCTCAGCAGCCCTCATGATGGTCCTGCAGGATGGCCCACTTACCTACAAAATGTTCTGCTAGAAAGCAGTTATCTTGTGCATAAGGTATAAAATGTTGGTAGGCTGACAGGATATCTTTAATAAAGGGTTCTTAGTAGAGTGTTTCCTTTCTGTCTTCATGATTTTTGAGTCATTACAGAGATGCCACCATGGTTAACCATCTGCTGCTATTTGTGCTGTTTCACAGTAATTATTGCTCAGATTTTCAAACAATCTTTGGTTTTGATGAAACATGACTGGGGTTTTCTCTTTTTCAGATAAAATATTTAAAGATATATTTTATTCACTGAAGAATTCACTGATTTTTCATTTTGTAACAACTTAGTAATATATTTACTTACAGGAGTTGGATTTCACTGAAAACAGAGGAATAGTTGGTGTTCCAAAATTTACCTCATAAGCTTATATTGATAATTGCATATTTATTAGTAAGGTTGTGATTAGGATCATGCCCACAGCTCAAGTTATTCTTAGCTCTGAGGTCAAAGCTCAATGACTCAACCAGTCATCACAACTCTTAACCACTTGATTTCCATTGCTAGTTCTATTACTTGAAATAAGTTCATCAAATTAGGAGTATGCATACTTAAGTCATCTGGAAATAAGAATACTTCCAAGCTCTGTGCTAGACACACATTACCCTCCCTCAAAGTATCAATGTTACTTCTTCTTGGGGCTGTAGATTTTCAGACCCTTCTGTGGCTTTTCTGGAAAAAACACTCAAAACTAAGCAGCAGAACTAACTTTTAACCAGCTCACCTCTTCAGAGGAGGAGATGATGGGTGAGGCAAACTTGTGAACACAGCACTCTGCTTCCTGGAAAAGCAGAAAGGCGCATCTGAATGCATGGCCTTGTTTCTTAGCTTGATTGTAAGCCCTGAGAAGTTTACTACGTATGCCATCTCTTGGAAGCTTCAGAATGATACAACGATCGGGCTTGGAAGGGACCTTAACAGATCACCCAGTTCCAACATCCCTGCATGGGCAGGGTCCCCTCCCACTAGATCAGGCTGCTCCAAGCCCCGTCCAACCTGGCTTTGAACGCTTCCAGGGATGGGCCCGCTTTCTGGCCAACCTGTTCTGCGACTTTATAAGGACAGGCTGCTGGTTACAAGCGCACTTACAGGCCAGTGCGAGTGATAAAACACAGCAGCAGCC